TTATTCCCCTCAAGGATGATTCCTTGATGTTGGTGAGGGGCTCTTGATCTAGGGAATTGGATCTGTGTTCCAGTTCCCTGAATTAAGCCTGAATACCTCCCACATCCGACCCACAGGCACTGCACAATCCTATGGGCTTAGTGCTTCCCCTTGATTAAAATAATAATAATAATAATAATTCTAACATTATTATCCATCACATACACTATCATCTGAGCTTCAGTGAACATATTGCAGAGTTTGACCCATAGTGCAGAAAGGCACAATACTGTGACTAGATCAATACGTAAATGACCCGCATATAGGAGAGAGAGAAACTTATGACAATGTTATGACCAAAACATCGTCATGATCTTCTCTCTCCTATATGTGGGTTATTTGTTTACTTGATCCAAAGGAAGATAAGCCCATTATTGAAGCTGCATGGCTATCCACTTACAATTGGTATACAAACTTTTCCAATGATTTCCAGAAAGTGTAGACTTCAACTGTATTGCCATATGTTGGAATGATCAAAAGTTTGTCCTACAGATGATCATAAGTTTCCATGCAGACTGTAGTTAGTATACTTATAGTACCTTAATTCTTACATACACTGTGGGATAAAATCAAAATGGTGTGCCAGTGTGTGTGTGTGTGTGTGTAGCCCAATTTACCATCTCTTATGTGAGACTGACACTATACTGGGTGACCCAGAAGACTGGACACATGGGAAATATTAATAGTATTTTTTTACCCCCACGGTTACCTGAATTACTGCATTGTGTTTATATGAATCTTGCAAAGCGCACTGAACTTTGCATTGCTAATGGATATGTTGAAAATATTTTTCATTAAAATTACGGTATAATTATTACAAAAATGCAATTTCGCCTGTGTGTCCAGACTTTTGAATCACCCTGTATAATGAATCTTGAAACAAGTAGAGAATTTAAAGTTAGACGCAAGATTAGAAAAAATAATAGTTTACTTTGATCTACTGTAAAAGACTGTGTAATTAAATAAACTAACGTAGAAATGGTATTCTTAACAAAATAAATCATAATTTTCTTTTTTTGTAGTTTGGATGGTTTAGAGGAAAGACAGAAATACTTTTAACTGATCTGTTGCTGACATTTTGTACTGAATTGTAAAAATTACATTTGTAAATTTTCTTTCTGGAAAATTAAATACTCTTTTGGGATAAATGGAACATGTCATTTACTTGCATTTACTGAATTAACATAGTACTGTATTCCTTATAGCTTATAAGTGCTGTACTGCATTTGAATAATAAAAAACATGTAGGTTGGATGTTTATTTCTTTAAGGAATGTATATTACAGGAAGTTTAATGTTTTACAACAATGATTTTATGTTGGTAAAATATGAAGTTTAGCAAAGTACATCCAGTGGTGCTAATGAGTATTTTATGATCAGTTAAAATGAGTTAATTTTCTCATTAAATGCATTGGTTGTCATTATGTGTTCTGTATTTACTTTATCTTAATACCCTTGCTTGTATTAGTTTGTATTTAATGGGTGTTCAGTACAGAAAAACATTTCATATCTGGTGCAAACAGCAACTTGCAATATCCATTCAACTTTATCATGGAATGGGTCAGGATTGAATCCATAATAAGTGAATCCTAAAATTCACCCGCCATGGGTTCAGTCCCTGCTCGTTCTGTGAATGTTTGCAATTGTGTTATTACGATTTCACAAGCCCATTCACCCTTGTTTTTGCCAGTGACTGACGGAAATAAATAACCTGGGGCAGTGCAGTTGGCCTCTAGGAAACAAGGTACTGTGAAGGACCTTTGATGATACTGTCAGCTCTAAAAGTGATTTATTAAAATTTTATACTGCTACTGAGTTTTGTTAAGAATGGAGACATTAGATCAAGAACTTTGGTTATAGTGTCAACAAAGACATGACGAAGGCCAGGGGCCTCCTGTGGATAATTTGACAATTTGTGACTAGGATATCTTTGGCATTTTCATAATCTTATGAACAATGGTGATAGTAGTTCTAATGAGGATAACTTTTGAAACTGGCATAATGTACAGTACAGTATTTATCATGGGTTTCATTCGTTTTATGAAGTTGAATAATATTAACTCAACAGATCACTAGTGCATATCATTTAGTACAAGAATTTAGTTTGTCTATTCAAATTCAAATTAACCTAAGACACCGAGTGCCCAGTATTGTAATACTATAGTGAACTGAATATATTACTATAATACAGTGGAACCTCAAAAATCGAACTTAATCCGTTCCAGGAGCTAGTTCTAAATTCGAAAAGTCTGAAATTCGAAGCAATATTTCCCATAAGAAATAATGGAAATACAATTAATCCGTTCCAGAAATCCAAAAATATTCACAAAAAAATACATTTTATACAGATTAATTACAGTTTTACATACACACAACAAATGCTATAGTCTTTAATTATGTATAGTAATATAAAATAACATTTTTACTTACCTTTATTGAAGCTGGTGATGGCATCTGGAAGATAGGGAGGAGGAGAGAGGGAGTTGTGGTTATTGTTTGGAAGGAGAATCCCCCTCCATGAGGACTTCCGGTATCAAAGCCCTCTCTGGGGTTGCTTCCCTTCTCTGTATTGTAATGCCACTAGGACCAGCTTGAGAGTCATTGGACCCCTGTCTCACAAAATAACTGTCTACAGTCCTCTGTTTCTGTCTCACAAAATAACTATCCACAGTCGTCTGTTTCTGTCTCACAAAATAACTGTCCACAATTGTCTGTTTCTCACAAAATAACTGTCCACAATTGTCTGTTTCTCACAAAATAACTCCACAGTCGTCTGTTTCTGTCTCACAAAATAACTGTCCACAGTCGTCTGTTTCTCACAAAATAACTGTCCACAATCGTCTGTCTCACAAAATAACTCCACAGTCATCTGTTTCTGTCTCACAAAATAACTCCACAGTCATCTGTTTGTCTCACAAAATAACTGTCCACAATCGTCTGTTTGTCTCACAAAATAACTCCACAGTCGTCTGTTTCTGTCTCACAAAATAACTGTCCACAGTCATCTATTTCTGTTTCACAAAATAACTGTCCACAGTCCTCTGTACATCCTGGCAAGCTCAACAAGTCTCACTCCAATCTCATTCTTCTGTATTATTTCCTTCTTCACATCTATGGTGTTTCTCACTTTCTTTACCACAGGGGTACCACTAGCAAGTTTCTTTGGGCCCATGGCAGCTTATTTCAGTCCCACAAGCACTAAACACAACGAAATAATCGTAAAATGTGTGAATGAGAGCGCAGGTTAGTGTTCACTCAAGCATAAACAAAGCTAGACTGCTCATGGCGCCTGCGCGGGGACGCGGACAGAGCGGGCCAGCGGACAGGTCCCGTGCCTGGCGGTCCGAAATTAGAGGCGCGTTCGATAATTGGGACACAGTTTGTCCGAAAAAATGGTCCTATTTTCGAAACGTTCGATATTTGATACGTTCGATTTTTGAGGTTCCACTGTATATAGTGTGTCAACCCATTTTAAAGAGACAAACTCGATGCTTTTATTTATGTGTAGTGTAAAGGTTTATGGTGTACCGAAAAAGTCTATGGCAATGAAAATGAGGTACATTAATGTTCAGTATGGTCTGGGTTGCAGTGTCACCAGATATAAAAGATTTTACTGTAGCAGTAATACTATGGAGTTCATGTAATAATTGTTATACATACTACAGATAACATTTATGCAAGAAACTAGTTCCTATGTTTATATAAATTGTGAGCTGATGGACTTAAATACTTCAAAAAGAACAAAAATTAGGGGATTTTATGTTGCAGAATTCTTTATAAAATATAGATTACTAGTCTGGCACTTTCAACTTGGTTTCTCTGTATAATCCTCAAGTTGTGAGTAATTATAGCAGTGCTGTGTAGTGTCATGAAAGTCCTCATGAACATATGAAGAATATATAGCACTGCAGTTTAAAAATATATGATAATTTACCAGTAAGCAGAGATAAAATCTATGGAAAAGGTATAAAAGAAAAAGTGCTGTATCAAAATAAGGCAAAAAGATACATGATTAGTGATAAAAAAAAAGTGTAAGCCCAGTAGATCCATTTATATGTGATGAGCACAATTTGTTTTGACCCTGTAATGTGTAACAATTAAAAAAATACTGTGCATTCAATTACTGGCAATGGACTACCAAGAACTTTTTGATATACTGTACTTTATATTAAAATTACTTAAAAATTAAAAAAAAAAAACAGAATCAGTGTTCTATATTTGTTATTTTCAATATATGTTTGATTATTTTTAGTCAACAATTTACTCTGCTAATAAACACTCTTTTTCATTTAACCATACACAAATAATTGTCTGTAATTCTTAGGTTAACTTTTACTGTTATGCCACTACAAGCTGTGACAAACTGAACTTGAAGCAATGCATTACTGATTATAAATACTGCATCACAATGCACCTACAAACTGAGAGTGAAACCTGGGATGTGTTTTCAGTCCTCATTCAGTAGACATGATGGACCAAAATGTCATGCAATTTTCAAAAGACACACTGGCAGAGAGAAACTTTTTTGAGACTTTTGCCTGTGACACAAGCTTTTTTTTTTTTGGTCTGAAGAAGCCTGTTTCATAGATGGAACTTGTCAATAAAGTTCTGCTCTGCAAATGCATTTTTTGCTACTTGTTTGTTGGCTTTGCCCCAATTATCTCCAGTTTCCATTTCCAATCTGTGGTTTTTTTTTTTTTTGTGATTTATTCCAGTTGCAGTATTATGACTTCTATTCTTTATGTATTGTGCTCCTAACATTAAATATTTGTACAGTGTGCACTGCATATTTAAGACTTTTGAAGCTTTTAGCCATACATCTATAGTATATTATCTGTCAGTATCTATGCAATTAAACTGAAATACAGTAGTTGCTTTGCTTTTCAGTTCATTGAAAATGTCTCACTCAAAGCTAGCTGACTCCTGCCTAACCATCTGGGCATGTTTAGGATTTTTGACTACCTGTGGATGCTCTCGCTGAGGTATGTTGATGGGCAGTCCCAGCTGCTTCTTGATGTAACGTGCTACTAATATCTGAGGATATTCTTGCCACTTGTTCAGTGTCTCCTTTGGTGTAGAAACCTAAATAAAGTACGAATGCATGTAAGTACATATACTGTATATTTTACTCCGTGTAAAAAGAAAAACTTTTGTTTTCCTGTTTAGGTCACCCTGCCTCAGTGGGAGACGATTGGTGTATTGCAATGTATATATATATATATATATATATATATATATATATATATATATATATATATATATTAATAAGGCTCTTTTTTTTTTTTTAACAAGTCGGCCGTCTCCCACCAAGGCTCTTATATACGTATACAGATATTTAAATAAAGTTTGATTACATATACATATATGTATGTACATATACTATACAAAGTAAGAAGGCTCTAACATAGAGAAAGCAATAAGGCTTCATTAAGTTTAAGTAACTCTTGAAATTGTAATAACACAATTGCAAACAAACCACAGAACAGGTGGGAGTTGAACCCATGATGAGTGAATTGTAAAATTCTAGGCTGGTACGTGGCTTACACGCTAGCCTGGAGTTTAGGACTCATCATGGGGTCAAACCCCACCCATTCCATGGCTAGTTTAAGTAACTAGTAGATGAAACTCTGATAAAAGGTTTGTTATTATTTAAAAGATATAATGTAATAAAGTTGGTAGAATTACCGACAATATGTAAAGTAAAAGGACACAAGTGCAACTAATGTGACATTTATTGTGGCAACGTTTCGCTCTCCAGGAGCTTTATCAAGCCATTACAAACAATACACGGACACAGAGGGTATATAAAGGCTCAGAGTGAGGTGCAATACTAGTGGTAGTAGTAGCAGTAGTAGTAGTGACAAAAGTTGTAGTAATAGTAGTAGTAGTAGTAGTGAATAAAGTAATACAATATGGTAGAGCAATTAATTCGTACATGAATAAAAGGATATAAAAGCTATTACTTGGGTAACAAAAATAGGTTGGACAAATATAGACTGGAAAGAGGCAGCTTGTTTCATTGTTCACTCTCTGTAATGTGAACACTGAAACAAGCTGCCTCTTTCCAGTCTATATTTGTCCAACCTATTTTTATGTTACCCAAGTAATAGCTTTTATATCCTTTTACTCATGTACAAATTAATTGCTCTACCATATTGTATTACTTTATTCACTACTACTACTACTACTACTACCACTAGTGAACATCGAAATGGTACCTCACTAGTATTGCACCTCACTCTGAGCCTTTATATACCCTCTGTGTCCATGTATTGTTTGTAATGGCTTGATAAAGCTCCTGGAGAGTGAAACGTTGCCACAATAAAATGTCACATTAGTTGCACTTGTGTCCTTTTACTTTACAAAAGATATAATATCAAGATTCTTCTCCATTACCCATGGAGGACCTTACATACATGTACTATATATAATTATACAGTACAGTACTGGGCAAATACAGTCTTCATTTCCTGAACATAAAGTAAGTTGGTAATTTACACTGAATACTTCATACCTGGTCTCCATGGAGGCGATTGAGAAGTGTAACACAGACGACGGCAGCCTTGATGCCTGCATGATAGCAGAGTGCAGCAAAACACAGAGATTCCATCTCCATATTAAGGATATTAGCATCATGAACTTTCTTGAGGAACGACAACTTGTCCGCTTCATTGTAGTCACAGAAAGCACCGTCTAGTCTTCCCTGACCTAAAAAATAATGTAAAATAATGAATAATTAAAATTTGCCACTCCATAACCTATGTCTGGTTTTAAATAGTGTATAAGCATTAGTTGAATGATGATGAAAGAATTTTTTTTTTGGGGATTTTCTTTCTTTTTGGGTCACCCTACCTCGGTGGGAGACGGCCGACTTGTTAAAAAAAAAAAAAATAAGCATTAAGATTATTCTTCCCAAAATGCTCAATTGAACATGAGGGATATCAAACAGGTATTTGTTTCTGGTGTGGTCATGTGTTCTAATACATTATTATTATATTCGTGGGGTGAGGAATTCAGGTTTATACATCCTCTTTACATGCCTATATTACCACACCAACCCCATTATTATTATTATAATTATTATTATTACCATATTATTATTATAATTTTATTAAGAACACATATGTACGTACATTAATTGTTTAAGGATTAAAAAATCAGTGAAGTACTTTATTTAAATTTAAAAAGTCTGTAAGGATGCAGAGACTTTGGGTAGACTGAAACCAAGACTGCCACTACAAGTCAATAACAGTTGATTATTGAATTGTAGAAGTGTGCACATTACACGATGCAGTACTCTAAAGCCATGCGATTGCAGTGCTATGTGACCCTTATAATAATAATAAAGCCATGTAATGATGTAGGATAAAAGTACCAACCTTCATAAAAGTCGTAAGTGCACATTGTTTTTCCAACAGACACACTAAAAGGGTCATCATCCATGTGGAGGTTTTTCAGGTCATTAGCGAGCTGCTTGTCAAGGATGGCAGGACGTCGCTTCAGCTTGCCTAGCACAGGCTGTGGGGACAAAGAAATGTGACAAAATAAAATTTAAAAATCATTATTTCTTAGAAACACTGCATTGGTTGGATTTATGATTCAGTTACACAATTCACGAAATTGCAATAAGATGATTGTAAACAAACTATGGTATTACCTGGAGTTTACCTGGAGAGAGTTCCGGGGGTCAACGCCCCCGCGGCCCGGTCTGTGACCAGGCCTCCTGGTGGATCAGAGCCTGATCAACCAGGCTGTTGCTGCTGGCTGCACGCAAACCAACGTACGAGCCACAGCCGGGCTGATCAGGAACTGACTTTAGGTGCTTGTCCAGTGCCAGCTTGAAGACTGCCAGGGGTCTGTTGGTAATCCCCCTTATGTATGCTGGGAGGCAGTTGAACAGTCTCGGGCCCCTGACACTTATTGTATGGTCTCTTAACGTGCTAGTGACACCCCTGCTTTTCATTGGGGGGTGGTGCATCGTCTGCCAAGTCTTTTGCTTTCGTAGTGAGTGATTGGGGGGGTGGGGGGGGGTGATGGGTGCGGTTAAAACTCATGGCAAGTGAGTTATAAAACTCCAGGCCAGTGCTTAAGCCACTGAGCTTATGCACTGGCCTGGAGTTTTGCCACTCGCTTACCATGAGTTCTTACACCACCTGTACCATTTTTTTTCAGTTGGTTACAGCTTTGATACAATTATTGCTGAAATATAATCAAAGGTTTATGGCTATATCAAGGCAGTAGCTTGGTTGACAATGCTCTCGCCTCACTGTGTTCATGATTCAATCCCAACACAGGTGAAAATGCTGGGTGCGTTTCTGTTAGGAAACAGGACAAGTGTTTCCTGATGAGGGTCTTAGTTGTATAAAGACCTGCAGCTGAAGCTTTTGGCCACCTGACTGAAGGCTTCCACTGACTTACCAATCCACTCATTTAGAAATTATGTATTTGATTATAACTGCTAGATATCTTATTGTTGATAATTAGTGATTTTGCAAATGAAGCAACAAAAGACAAAAAGTTAATGAAACCTTCCATAATATAACAAGGCAAAACTTGATGCTACTTACCAGTTCAAGGAAAGGCTGCAGCATACCGTCGACAGCACTCTCACTGATCACTAAGTTACCACCTTCAATACCAATACCACCACATGTGCCCAGGCGGAAGAAGATGGGGTCCTTGCACTTAGCATGGTACATTAACTTGATTACTTCATGAAGGAGAATTCCTACAGAAGGAATTCCCATACCATGAGAGAAGCACAACACTGGTCCAACCTAAGGAATATTTTACAAGGTACAGATACGTTAATAATTGAAATCTATTACATGTTAACTACACTTTGTATACTACATAAAGAAATAGTGTTTTACATACAAAAAGCTTTAAAATACAGATTATAAAAAATAAAATGTAATCTTAAATATACAGTCCCAGGACCCACTATGTACTGTAATGTTTTGACTACTGCCCAAAGGATGTCTATGGGATGTAATAAAAACTTATTAAACTAACTGTAATGGTGAGTCCTATGGGAAGAGCATTTGTAAAATAGTGAAAGATAGTATCATGACACATCCTATGGAAATAAGTCACTTCGTCTGACTTCTTTGGGTTATTCTAGTTATTTAACACTACATATGATAATTGTACAGTACTTACATGTACCTATACCTAAATAAACTTACTTATCCTTGCTGGTAAGGTAGTGGTTGCTTAACTACTGAGAGAGCAATAGTATGACAGCAGGTAAGTTTATTTAGGCACAGGTATGTATAAGTACAGTTATCATACAAAGTGCAAATTACCCACCAGGATGACCCAAAAAAGTTAGACGAAGTGACTTATTTCCATTTGGGTTCTTGGTTGCTTAATCACTGAGCAGGTCATCTGACAAAACCTGCATCAGGGGAGATTTTCCTGTTTCCTGATAAATAAAACACCATCACTACTGAGGAGACAATGGAAATGCACCACCAGTAACAAAAACTTAAAATTGCAAAATGATGACAAAAAGTGTACGATCAGTATTAGCAAATGTCCGAAACGCTCAGGCATGTTAGTGGCTTTCTTTGTAATGTACTTAACAATTATCCTAGTAGATTTAGCACTTCTTTTTCATTATAATAATAATAATGTACTCAACATATAAAATGTAAATCACACATTGTAACCTGTGCAAAGAAATAAAAACTGTATTGTAAATTAACATGGATACCAACACTCGTTTATAGTACATATTTATTTACTGCTAGGTGACCAGACACTACAGGTTCCAGATCAACCAGGCTGTGATGGATATGTGGGTCAGTTGGCCACCACTGGCAACAGCCTAGTTGACCAGGCAAACACCAAACAAGCCTGGCCCATGGCCAGGCTCTAGGAGTAAAAAACCTCAGAACTCATCAAAGGTATATCAAAGGAATATCAAAGGTATAGCCATGTGAGTGTATAATGAAAGCCTGTAATTGTTTTACTTGATGGTAGGATTGCTGGTGTCCTTTTTTCTGTTTCATAAACATGCAAGATTTCAGTGGCCTGGTGGCTAAAGCTCCCGCTTCACACATGGAGGGCCCGGGTTCGATTCCCGGCGGGTGGAAACATTTCGACACGTTTCCTTACACCTATTGTCCTGTTCACCTAGCAGCAAATAGGTACCTGGGTGTTAGTCGACTGGTGTGGGTCGCATCCTGGGGTCAAGATTAAGGACCCCAATGGAAATAAGTTAGACAGTCCTCGATGACGCACTGACTTTCTTGGGTTATCCTGGGTGGCTAACCCTCCGGGGTTAAAAATCCGAACGAAATCTTATCTTATCTTATCTTAGGTACGTCTTGCTACTTCTACTTACACTTAGGCCACACTGCACATACATGTACAAGCATATATATACAAACCCCTCTGGGTTTTCTTCTATTTTCTTTCTAGTTCTTGTTCTTGTTTATTTCCTCTTATCTCCATGGGGAAGTGGAACAGAATTCTTCCTACGTAAGCCATGAGTGTTGTAAGAGGCAACTAAAATGCCGGGAGCAAGGGGCTAGTAACCCCTTCTCCTGTATATATTACTAAATGTAAAAGGAGAAACTTTCGTTTCTCCTTTTGGGCCACCCCGCCTCGGTGGGATATGGCTGGGTGTTGAAAGAAGAAAGATCAAAGGTATAGCAATGTGTATGAACACTTGCCCATAGTCTGGTGGCAAAGCTCTTGCTGCACACAGTGAGGGTCCGGGTTCGATTCCCGGCAGCGGGTGGAAACATTGGGCGCGTTTCCTTACACCGGTTGTCCAGGATCATCCATCAGTAATAATGGGTACCTGGGTATTAGTCGACTGGTGTGGGTCGTATCCTGGGACAAAATTGACCTAATTTGTCCAAAATGATCTGCATAACAAGCGGCTTTCTATACAGTATGTATGTCACTGATGTCAGCTATGATCTGTATATCTTGTACATGTACTTGTAGAAATAAAGATATGTTATTATTATTATTATTATATAAATCACTCTTTTAGGTAGGAGGTTGGTAGACAGCAACTGTCCAGGGAAGTACTACCGTCCTGCCAAATGAGTGTAAAGCGGAAACCTGTAATTGTTTTACATGATGGTAGGATTGCTGGTGTCTTTTCTTTGTCTCATAAACACGCAAGATTTCAGGTACATCTTGCTACTTCTACTTACACTTAGGTTACACTACACATACATGTATAAGCATATACACACCCCTCTGGGTTTTCTTCTATTTTCTTACTAGTTCTTGTTCTTGTTTATTTCCCGTTATCTCCATGGAGAAGTGGAAAAGAATTTTTCCTCCGTAAGCCATGCGTGTTGTAAGAGGTGACTAAAATGCCGGGAGCAAGGGGCTAGTAACCCCTTTTCCTGTATACATTACTAAATTTAAAAAGAGAAACTTGTTTTTCTTTTTGGGCCACCCTGCCTTGGTGGGATACGGCTGGTTTGTTGAAAAAAAAAAAAACTCATTCTGCCCAGAATTGACCATGAGTCCCTCAGGCAGGAGCAGAAGGCACTACCAGTGATCCTCAAGCAGGACTGAGGTTTCTAACGCATCTGCATAGTAGTTGATACTTGGGTTTCACCCACAAGTCTTCTAACACCCATGTACCTACTCAAAAACGTCAATATTTTTTAGTTAAATTCTTAATTTCACATTACTGCAAAATTCAGACACACACTTTACTTTGTACATCACACAAATAACCCGCACATAAAAGAGAGAAGCTTACGACGACGTTTCGGTCCGACTTGGACCATTTAAATGGTCCAAGTCGGACCGAAACGTCGTAAGCTTCTCTCTTTTATGTGCGGGTTATTTGTGTATCGTTCCAGTCACGGTATTGTGCCTTTTTTTGTTATTTATTGTGCATCACTTCAAAGGGGGGGTATACCTTGATGCTTGGTCAAGGGTTCTTGATCAAAGGACCTAGAGCTACCCTCCCATTTCTTGAATGAAACATGATTATCCATGATTTCCCAAGTGCTAAGTAAGAAAGTTAATTTAGGCACAGGTATACATAAGTACAGCTTCTCCTCAATTACCCCCCTCAAGGAAGGTTCCTTGATGTTGGTGAGGGGCTCTTGATTTAGGGAATTGGATCTGTGCACCAGTTCCCCGAATTAAGCCTGAATGCCTTCCACATCCCCCCCCCAGGCGCTGTATAATCCTCCGGGTTTAGCGCTTCCTCTTGATTAAGAGATAAGATAAGATTTCGTTCGGATTTTTAACCCCGGAGGGTTAGCCACCCAGGATAACCCAAGAAAGTCAGTGCGTCATCGAGGACTGTCTAACTTGTTTCCATTGGGGTCCTTAATCTTGTCCCCCAGGATGCGACCCACACCAGTCGACTAACACCCAGGTACCTATTTGCTGCTAGGTGAACAGGACAACAGGTGTAAGGAAACGTGTCGAAATGTTTCCACCCGCCGGGAATCGAACCCGGGCCCTCCGTGTGTGAAGCGGGAGCTTTAGCCACCAGGCCACCGGGCCACCACCAACAACTTGGACTTATGATGGGCTCTCTGATTAATATGGATACCTAAATAATGTACATCAGAGCTGATTTCTGTTTATTACAATATACACTACACTACTGTATAAACATTTAAAAGTATACTAAAAATGTTACAAATGGTGCAAAGGTGACATTAAATCAATATCAAAGATAGTTGACACAAACCCATTACCATTATAGTATGCTCCTTGCTTAGCGACGAATTTATTTACCGATGTGGTCATAGGAACAGAACTTCGTTGTTAAGTGAGGAGAGGCTGCACAATTATCATACAGTGTTAAAAAAGTCACTTTCGTCTGACTCAAAAAAAAGTCAGACAAAAATGACTTATTTCCATAGGGGTCCTTGCTGTATAAGTAAGTTTATCTTGGTAAAGTAAATACAGTTACACAAATTATCATACAAAATAATGTATGTGTAAATTACCCACGATAACCCAAAAAAGGCCAGCTAAAGTGACTTATTTCTATTGGGTTTAGTGCTTTCAATAATAATAATAATAATAATAATAATAATAATAATAATAATAATAATAATAATAATAATAATAATTACCTTATACATGGAGTAGCGGTAGGATCGGTAGGAGATATCAAGCAGTGTGGTTCCTGCAGGAAGTTTGTAACCGATCTCATCCATGATGAAGTTAGCGAACTGTTCCATGCGCTTGGGTGTGCCTCCCATGCAGACAAAGCGGATCTCGCTGAACATCTCCACCAGATCATGGGAGCCTGAACCCAGGGCCAAGTGGTACAGAATATCCTGCTCCATCTCGGAGATGTGAGGATTTCGCAGTCGTACTGACCCATCAGGGAACCTGAAAAGTAAGAAAGTGAATAAGTTTTTTTAGGTACAGGTATACCTGGAGAGGGTTTTGGAGGTCAACGCCCCCGTGGCTCGGTCTGAGACCAGGCCTCGTGGTGGATCAGGGTTCAATCAACCAGGCTGTTACTGCAGGCCACACACAAACTGACATGCAAACCACAGCCTGGCTGGTAGAGTACTGACTTTAGGTGCCTGTCCAGTGCATGCTTGAAGACAGCCAGGGGTCCATTGGTAATCTCCCTGATGTATGCTGGGAGGCACTTGAACAGTCTTGGGCCCCTGACACTTATTTGTTGCCTCTTATCGTGCTAGTGACACCCCTGCTTTTCGTTGGGGGGATTTTGCATCGTCTGCCGAGTCTTTTGCTTTCATAGGGAGTGATTTCGTGTGCAAGTTTGGTACTAGTCCCTCTAGGATTTTCTAGGTGTATATAATCATGCATCTCTCCCTCCTGCATTCTAGAGAACAATGGTGCATACACTGAGGTGGCCAGAAGGGCCCACATGGGTAGGGCAAAGTTACTCAACATGGGGATTGCGATCACAAGGAGACTGACTGGGAAAACCTAGAGCCACATGGGGAATCAGACACGTGGAGGGCCAAGATGATGGAGACAGTCAGAGGCGTCGTAAGGGGGGGGGGGACGCGGGCCGCCCCGGGTGACACCATTTAGGGGGTGACACCATAGAGCCTCTAAAGAAGGTGACACTAATGCACAAAACAGTGCTGCACCAACATAAGAGAAGAATCCTTCGTTTCTATATAGCCCATTATATATTAACAAAGTACAAATAAGCCTATATAGAGAAAATCATTGATTTTGATGATGTGATAGATGATTTTGCATAACTGAAGGCAAGAAAATGTAAGATCAGATTCACTGAGATGTTACCTGTACTCAAAGTCAAATCGGAACTAGTGTTTTCTTTATTTTACAAGTTTTTTTTTTTGCATTGTTGGAGATGAATAAATGTAGCATCTGTTGGCTGTACCCAAAGTGGTATTTGAGTTTGTTTCCTGAATATTACTATGATTATTTATTTTATCATTAATAAAGTTGAGAAGTATTCTGCTGTTCGGCTTATGGCCCTTAAACGTTCTCTTTGCTAAACAGTCACTGACTGGGCATGCAGTTGTTTACCCCCCCATCCCCCCGTCCTTGAATTTCATGGGGGTGATACCAAAGATGCTGTCCCAGGTGACACCAACTCTAGCAATGCCTCTGGAGACAGTATTGGAAAACTTCATGCACCAACATGGGGATACAACCAGAGAGAGAAGAGAGTATATACCAGCATTCACCTTGAGCAGCTCAGACATAGGCAATATTACATATGAAAGACCCCATTGGCACTAGTGATCACAACATCCTGAGTTTCGAATACCATGTAGAGTTAACAGTGGAGAATGAAGAATCACGAGAAGGATGGGAAAAGCCAAACTTCAAAAACGGGGACTACACAGGTATGAGGTAATTCCTGCATGAGGTGCAGTGGGAAAGAGAAATAGAGGGAAATACAGTAAATGAAATGATGGAACAAGTGTCCACAAAGTGCAGGGAGACAGAGGAAAGTTCATACCAAAGGGTAACATAAAAAATGGAAAGATTAGTGTGAGCCCATGCCTGAAGGTGTAAAGAGGCCAAAGCCAAGTATGCTAAAGCATGGAAAAAGTATAGAAGGCAAAGGACTCAAGAAAACAAGGAGTTAAGCAGAACCAGAAATGAATATGCATGATAAGGAGAGAGGCTCAGCAGCAGTACGAGAATAACATAGCATCAAAAGCCAAGTCTGACCCAAAGTTGTTATACAGCCACATCAGGAGGAAAACAACAGTCAAGGACCAGGTAATCAGGCTGAGGATGGAAGGAGGGGAACTCGCAAATAGTGACCAGGAAGTATGTGAAGAGCTTAGTACAAGATTTAGAGAAGTATTCACAGTGGAGACGGTAACACTTCCAGCAAATAGGCAGTAGGGTGCATCAGCAAGTGCTGGACACACTGCACATAACTAAGGAGGTGAAGAAACTGCAAGGTGAACTAGATACCTCGAAGGCAGTGGGCCCAGATAACATCTCTCCTTGGGTCCTGAGAGAAGGAAAAGAACTGGGTGTGCCACTAGCAGTAATCTTCACTAAATCTATCGGTACAGGACAACTGCCTGAGGTATGGAAGACAGCAAATGTAGTCCCAATTTTTAAGAAAGGAGACAGACAGGCAGCATTAAACTACAGACCAGTGTCACTGACATGTACAGTATGCAAAGTAATGGAGAAGAGTGGTGGAGCACATAGAAAAGATTGGGCTCATACATAATGATTAGCACGGCTTCAGGGATGGGAAATTCTGTGTCACAAATCTGAGTTCTACGACAAGGTAACAGAAGTAAGACAGGGAAGAGAGAGAGAGAGACAGGGATGGGTAGATTGCATCTTTTTGGACTGTAAGAAGGCTTTCGACACTTCCACACAAGAGAGTGGTTCAAAAACTAGAGGAGCAGACAGGAATAGTAGGGAAAAGACTGCAATGGATCAGGGAATACCGGACAGGAAGGAAACGAGTGATGGTACCTTACGAGGTATCAGAGTGGGCACACGTGTCAAGTGGGCTTCCATAAGGATCAGTCCTGAGTTTGGGCCTCTTTCTTGTATATATGAATATTAGGAGTGAAGGAATAGATTCAGAGGTGTCCCTGTTCGCTAATGATGTGAAAATAATGAGGAGAGATACATGATTATATACACCTGGAAAATCCTAGAGGGACTAGTACCGAACTTGCACACGAAAATCACTCACTACGAAAGCAAAAGACTTGACAGACGATGCAACATCCCCCCAATGAAAAGCAGGGGTGTCACTAGCACGTTAAGAGACCATACAATAAGTGTCAGGGGCCCGAGACTGTTCAACTGCCTCCCAGCACACATAAGGGGGATTACCAACAGACCCCTGGCAGTCTTCAAGCTGGCACTGGACAAGCACCTAAAGTCAGTTCCGGATCAGCCGGGCTGTGGCTCGTACGTTGGTTTGCGTGCAGCCAGCAGCAACAGCCTGGTTGATCAGGCTCTGATCCACCAGGAGGCCTGGTCTCAGACCGGGCCGCGGGGGCGTTGACCCCCGGAACTCTCTCCAGGTAAACTCCAGAATAAAGCGGACGAGGATCAGGTAAGATTACAAGGGGATCTGGACAAGCTGCAAGCTTGTCCAGACAAATGGCTCCTAGAGTTTAGCCCCAACAAGTGCAAGGTTATAAAGCTTGGGGTAGAAAGAAGAAGACCGCAGACGGAATACAAGCTAGGGGATCAAAGGCTGCAAACCTCACTTAAGGAAAATGATCTTGGAGTGAGTATAATACCGAGCACATCTCCTGAGGCACATGTCAATCAAATAACCGCTGCAGCATATGGGCGCCTGGCAAACCTAAGAATAGCATTTCGACATCTAAGTAAGGAATCACTCACGACACTGCACACCGTGTACGTCAGGCCCATATTGGAGTATGCAGCACTAGTATGTAACCCACACCTGGTCAAACACGTCAAGAAATTAGAGAAAGCGAAAAAGTTTGCAACAAGGCTAGTTCCGGAACCGAGAGGTATGTCCTGCGAGGAGAGGTTAAGGGAAATCAACCTGACGACACTGGAGGATAGGAGAGATAAGGGAACATGATAAAGACGTATAAAATACTGAGAGGAATTGACAAGGTAGACAAGGCTAGAATGTTTCAGAGATGGGACACCGGAACAAGAGGACACACTTCGAGGTTGAGAACTCAAATGAGTCATAGATATGTTAGGAAGTATTTGTTTAACCTTTGAATTGTCAGGAAGTGGAACAGTCTGGAGAGTGATGTAGTGGAGGCAGGATCCATACATAGCTTTAAGAAGAGGCATGATGAAGCTCATGGAGCAGGAAGAGTGACCTAGAAGGGACCAGTGAAGAGGCGGGGCCAGGAGCTACGACTCAACCCCCGCAACCACATATAGGTGAGTACCTCTCTTGTGTATACTGCATACACACGCTGAGACCTGGTGGAGTAAGTTTATTTAGATACAGGTACACATAAATAGTTACACGAACTATCATATATAGTAACATGTGTAAGTTGCCCACTAGGAAAACCCTAGAACGGTCAGAATTATTTCTATTGAGGTCCATGTTGATGACTTCGCTATTGCTTGTGCAGGCGCTGACTGTCACCTTATTGCAGTTTCTCTCCAGCATGCGGTCGACCGTGTTTCCACTTGGGCCACCACACATGGGTTTAAATTTTCAAGTACCAAAACTCACCAAATTACTTTCACTAGACGCTCTGTTATCTCCGATCATCCTTTGTATCTCTATGGCTCCCGTATCCCCGAACGTGATACAGTCAGGTTTCTAGGCCTTCTCTTTGACCGTCGGTTAACCTGGAAACCTCACATTACCTCTCTGAAGGCAACTTGTCACAGCCGGCTAAACCTTCTTAAAACCCTTGCTCATCTTTCCTGGGGAGCTGATCGTCGAACTCTGCTTCGCCTACATTCAGCCCTCGTTTTATCGAAACTCGATTATGGTGACCAGATTTATTCCGCGGCCTCTCCTGCTACTCTCTCTAGCCTTAACTCTATCCATCACCAAGGCTTACGTTTGTGCCTTGGTGCTTTTCGCTCTTCCCCTGTTGAGAGCCTCTATACAGAAGCAAATGTTCCATCCTTGTCTGATCGCCGTGATGCCCATTGCCTTCGTTACTATGTACGCTCTCACGATCTACACAATCCTTCCATTTATAGAATGGTCACCGATATTAGTAGACATTCTTTATTCGTTCGCCGCCCCTGTTTGCTCCGTCCCTTTTCTCTTCGCCTACTTTCCCTCTTGTCTTCCCTTCAGTTACCACCTTTATATGTTCATGTAGCATCTCACTTTTCCCTACCCCCCTGGGAAGTTCCAGCTGTTCGGGTCTGTTCTTTCTCACTCCCTTGCTCGAAAGCTCAACTGCCTACGGTGGCTTCCCGCTCTCTTTTTCTTGATCACTTCCACTCTCACTCTCATGCCACCGCTGTGTACACAGATGGCTCTAAGTCTTCAGACGGCGTCGGATTCGCAGCAGTGTTTCCGGACAGCGTCGTACGAGGGCATTTACTATCTTCAGCTAGCATTTTTACTGCTGAACTGTATGCCATTCTTGCAGCACTTATTCGTATCGCATCTATGCCTGTGTCATCATTTGTAGTAGTCTCAGACTCCCTTAGTGCTCTACAGGCTATACGAAAATTTGATACATCTCATCCCCTAGTTCTCCGTATCCAACTTTGGCTACGCCGTATCTCTACCAAACATAAAGATATTGTTTTTTGTTGGGTCCTGGTCATGTCGACGTACAGGGCAATGAACAGGCAGACACTGCTGCGCGGTCAGCAGTATATGACCTACCAATTTCCTATCGAGGTGTTCCATTTCTGGACTATTTTGCTGCAATAGCTACCCACCTTCGCACCCGTTGGCAACAACGTTGGTCAACTCTGCTCGGTAACAAACTTCATTCTATTAAACCGAGCATAGGTTACTGGCCGTCTTCTTGTCATCAGTGCCGAGGTTGGGAGACCACTCTCTCCCGCCTTCGCATTGGCCACACTCGTCTTACTCATGGGTATCTCATGGAGAGGCACCCTGTTCCTCTCTGTGAGCAGTGTCAAGTTCCAGTATCGATTAGCCACATTCTGTTAGACTGCCCTCTCTATCAACGAGCACGCAGAATTTACCTCCAACGTCGTCTTCGTTCTCCTACTCTCTCTTTACCTTCCCTTCTTGCTGATGGACCCTCCTTTAATCCTGACTCTCTCATTGACTTCTTGACAACGACTGATTTACTCCACAAACTCTGATGATACTTTTCGCACTCCCCTCAGCCCTTTCTGGTTCAGTCTCTTGCTGCCCTTTACCCTTTCACCATCCACTGCCCCGCTGTTATCCGTAACCTGTTGCTCATCCATCTCCCTTTTGCCACCTGATGCCCTCGCTTCCTTCCTGCCCTGCAGCGCTGTATAGTCCTTGTGGCTTAGCGCTTCTTTTTTGATTATAATAATAATGAGGTCCGTGGATATAAGAATGTTGGAGCATTACTGTAGACCTATTGACCCATGCTAGGCAGGTCTTTTTTGTCTGTCAGTTGACCCACGGACCTATTCTCCTTTCCATTACACCGTTTCTTCACAATACATGCCAGCCACCCTCATTCATACCGAGTTCCCACGCCTCTGTCCCTCCCTATTCACCATGGTATTGTGAGATGCAGGACAGACCTACCTGGTACAAGCCGTGCAGGAGTGTGTGTTAGTGTGTGTGCTGGCCTGGTCCTGGTCCTGGTCTTGGACCATTGGTAACACACAGGCTTCACCCTCTTGGCAAGGCATTGCTGATTAAGTTGCGAATGTCAGATGCTACAAGAAGTCCGCCACTAGTCTTGATGGATTATTTTTCAACAGTTAATCTGCCACTGCCTATAATGCCGGATTTTCTGAGTTCTTGATGGATTTACCAGCAAATCCTTGACTGCAGTGGAGGATTTCTTCCTGTACGTAGTCTGTGGCTGATTACGGATTTATGAACATGCATACTTCGTAAACCACATTCACAGAGTTTCAGAGCTCTCTAAATCTATTAAATTCGGCGAGGAATACGGAGAGATCTAAGTGAGATGCTTTAGAAAATATATTCGAAACGTGGCGGGCAAGTTTTGACCTGGTAATGGAAGGTGAACTGTGCTCACCAGTTGGGGGAATATATAGGGAACCTCGCTGGACAGACGCCGTGACGTGGCGGCTTGTGATTGGCCGAGCTGGGGGACGGGACTTCCACTAAGGGCATACTTTGGTTTGTTACAGCCAATGAGCGGCGAGGATATAAGCAACGTTGTCATCAGAAAATGTGATGTAATTTCTCAGCAAGAAAAGTTCTATTTAGGCTTTGCGTACATGACGTACAGTTATATTACAGAGCACGCACACAGGAGCAAGAAACCATGACGACACATGAGTTAACAAGTGGGTCATTAACTAATCACACGACTAGTGTGATTAGTCGTGTGACTAGTTAATGACCTCACTAGTCGTGTGACTAGTTAATGACCTCACTAGTCGTGTGACTAGTTAATGACCTCACCACTAGTCGTGTGACTAGTTAATGACCTCACTAGTCGTGTGACTAGTTAATGACCTCACTAGTCGTGTGACTAGTTAATGACCTCACTACTAGTCGTGTGACTAGTTAATGACCTCACCACTAGTCGTGTGACTAGTTAATGACCTCACTAGTCGTGTGGCTAGTTAATGACCTCACTAGTCGTGTGGCTAGTTAATGACCTCACCACTAGTCGTGTGGCTAGTTAATGACCTCACCACTAGTCGTGTGGCTAGTTAATGACCTCACCACTAGTCGTGTGACTAGTTAATGACCTCACCACTAGTCGTGTGGCTAGTTAATGACCTCACCACTAGTCGTGTGGCTAGTTAATGACCTCACCACTAGTCGTGTGACTAGTTAATGACCCCATTGGAATCAAGGACCCCAATGGAAATAAGCCACTCTGAGCGTTATTATTTGTGTCAGGGGCCCAAGACTGTTCAATTGCCTCCCAGCATACATAAAGGGGATTACCAATAGACCCCTGACTGTCTTCAAGAAGACACTGGACAGTCACCTAAAGTCAGTACCTGACCAACCGGGCTGTGGGTCGTACGTCAGCTTGCATGCGGCCAGCAGTAACAGCCTGGTTGATCAGACCCTGATTCACAATGAGGCCTGGTCTCAGACCGGGCCGCGGGGGCGTTGACCCAAGAAACCCTCTCCAGGTAAACTCCAGGTCTTCAGGTTACGGTATGGTTAGGTTACCTGGAGTTTACCTGGAGAGAGTTCCGGGGGTCAACGCCCCCGCGGCCCGGTCTGTGACCAGGTTAGGGAGGTTCCTTGACGCTGGTGAGGGGCTCTTGATCTAGGAAATTGGATCTGTGCTCCAGTTACCTGAATTGAGCCTGAATACCTTCCACATCCCCCCCCCACAGGCGCTGCATAATCCTACGGGTTTAGCGCTCACCCATGACTATAATAATTCTAATTTACTATATAGTTAATGTTGCAGAAGATAAGCACGTATAACGTGTATGAAGGATTGGTGTTGGGGAAAATATATACACAGTTTCAAGTGAAGGTACGATAGTGCAGAATTCTGAGAATATAGGATGACTGTAGCTCAGGGGACGGGACCAAGAGCTGGTGAGTACACACAGCTACCAGGCCACCAGGCCCGTGGCCTGGTAGCAAAAGCTCTCGCTTCACACAGTGAGTGTCCGGGCTCGATTCCCGGCGAGGGTAGAAACATTGTGGGTGTTTCTTTACACCGGTTTTCTGTTCCCCATCAGTAAAATAGGTACCTAGAAGTTAGTGGACTGGTGTGGGTCGCATCCTGGGACAAAACTGACCTAATTTGCGGGAAATGCTCTGCATAAGAAGGGGCTTTCTATATAGTAGTATGTCACTGATGTCAGCTATGGTCTGTATAAGTTGTATCATGTACTTGTAGAAATAATAATAATACTAATAATAATATTATTATTATTATTATTATTATTATTATTATTATTATTATTATTAACTATGAAGAGAGGTTGATGACATTAGATGACAAGAGGAGACTTGATACATAAGGGGGATTACCAATAGACCCCTGACTGTCTTCAAGGTGTTGGGACAGGCACTTAAAATCAGTACCTGACCAGGCGGGCTTTGGTTTGTACATGTTTACGTGCAGTCAGCAGTAACAGCCTGGTTGATCAGGCCCTGATCGACCACGAAGCCTGGTCATGGACCGGGTCGAGGGAGCGTTGATCCCCGGAATACCCTCCAGGTATACTCTAGGTAGCTCAATAAGCTTTGATAACCAATGTATAATTACAGAGGGCAGCCAGAGCTCTAGCTCTGGGACCCCTACAAAAAATTTGAACCCATATTTAGGCATATACGGAAAAATTAGGTTTAAATACAGGTTAGACGTGTACATGAGTGAGTGTGAGTTAGGACTGCCTAGCATGGGCCAGTAGGCCTACTGCAGTGCTGCTCCATTCTTATGTACATATATAAACACAATGACAGAACATAAGACAGGAGGAAAAAGTGGGCAAAACACGGAGATAAAATCGGTACCGCACATTTCCTGGAGCTCTGTGCTCCTTCAGACACGTCGGTATATTACGGAATGTTTCCCGTGCGGCCGGATGCACACCCGAGAGGAATTATGTAAACTCGGCAGGGAGTTTACGTACACTGATGGAGTTTACGTACACTGATGGAGTTTACGTACACTGATGGAGTTTACGTACACTGATGGAGTTTACGTACACTGATGGAGTTTACGTACACTGATGGAGTTTATATACACTGATGGAGTTTACGTACACTGATGGAGTTTACGTACACTGATGGAGTTTACGTCATTGTCGATCGAATATGAGACCTTTTAGTACGTACTGTTATATTGTATTGTACGACCTGGCAACGAGGTCAGGCGGAATGAGACGAGGAAGTAGAATAGGGGGGAGAGAGAGAGAGAGAGAGGAGAGAGAGAGAGAGGAGAGAGAGAGAGAGGAGAGAGAGAGAGAGAGAGAGAGAGAGAGAGAGAGAGAGAGAGAGAGAGAGAGAGAGAGAGAGAGAGAGAGAGAGAGAGAGAGAGAGAGAGAGAGAATGTGCAGCCGTTAAAACCACCTCAGGCCAGGAAAAGAAAGTTACCAATGGGACTTTCCGCAGACCCATGTCCCACCATCTCCTATGTTTATTGTTTTATTGTTGGGAAAACTGGCTACAGTAACTGGCTACAGTAACTGGCTACAGTATTATGTGTGATGGTCACACAGTGGGAACAAAAGCTAGTTATGTTTCACTGTCGTATTCCATCACATAATGTATTAAGTAATTAAGTTCAGATCACAGTAATAAGCACATAAATGTTACAGTAAAGGATATATTATGTATGTTAATTATACCATAAATCATTCTCCTCCCTTTCTGTAGCTACATTCATCAGACACTTTTTGGCAGTCTTCTTGAACTGGTTCATGCTATGACTGGCTTTGACATGTGCGGGTAGTCTGTTCCATTCCTTTATTGCTGTACAATGAAAGGTGTTTGAAGCCTGGCCACTGACTGTGGGTACTACAAAGTTGTGTTCTCTTCCCCTAGTACTATGATTGCTTTGGTTCCCAACCTTGACAAACTTGACAGCAAGATATTCTGGACACTGTTTGTGAGCAATCTTATAAACATGATTTAGCTTCAGTTGTTTTACTCTGTCTTCAACATTCAGTATATCCAACTGCTGTAATTCATCCTGGACTACATGTTCTCTCTGACCCAGGTCAAGGATGAATATCACCATTTTGTTCTAGGTGATTTGTAGCCTATCAGCTTGTTTTTTTCTTTTTTTTTTTTTATCAAGGCAGAGTACCATGAAGAACAAGAGTAATCTATATAACATTGTATAAGGGCTAGACATAGGGTCCTGCGAGCCTCAGTAGGTAGACACTGTGCTTGTCTGTAGAGGAACTGGTATTCACTTTCTTTACTACACTGTTCCCTATCAGTTCTCCTGACATGCTGGGTCAAAGGGGATTCCCAGATATTTTACTGAGGAAACTGAAGTTATGGACTCCCCATTATACCGGACATTAAAATTATTTACCTTCTTCAGTTTATGTTTAGTGCCAAAGAGTATAGCTTTGGTTTTCCCGAGGAGTAATGATAGTTTGTTGTCTACTAACCATTTACTGCAGGACTCCAGTTCCAGTGTTATTACATTAGCTATATCTTGTGGGTGTTTACCTGACACAACAGAGTACTGTCATCAGCGTACAGCAGAAGATTGCACTTGACACTGATGGGTATGTCAGGTGTGGGTAGCATCCTGGGGGACAAGATTAAGGACCACAATGGAAATAAGTTAGACAGTCCTCGATGACGCACTGACTTTCTTGGGCTATCCTGGGTGGCTAACCCCCCGGGGTTAAAAATCCGAACGAAATCTTATTTTATCTTATCTTACACAACATAGGAACAGTTTACCTGGAGTTTACCTGGAGAGAGTTCCGGGGGTCAACGCCCCCGCGGCCCGGTCTGTGACCAGGCCTCCTGGTGGATCAGAGCCTGATCAACCAGGCTGTTGCTGCTGGCTGCACGCAAACCAACGTACGAGCCACAGCCCGGCTGATCCGGAACTGACTTTAGGTGCTTGTCCAGTGCCAGCTTGAAGACTGCCAGGGGTCTGTTGGTAATCCCCCTTATGTGTGCTGGGAGGCAGTTGAACAGTCTCGGGCCCCTGACACTTATTGTATGGTCTCTTAACGTGCTAGTGACACCCCTGCTTTTCATTGGGGGGACCCAGAATACTACCTTGGGAAACTCCACATGCTATCGGCAGTATTTTACTGTCGTATTCCATCACTCAGGATGGGTCATGCACAAATAATTTAGAATGCCTAACATCTACCACCACTACTACTACTACTACTACTACTACTACTACTACTACTAATAATAATAATAATAATAATAATAATAATAATAATAATGATAATAATAATCTTTATCTCTAAAGTACATAATACAACTTACACAGACCATAGCTGACATCAATGACATACTATATAGAAAGTCCCTGGTTATGCTGAGCATTTCCCGCAACTTAGGTTAATTTTGTCCC